CTATCGCCACAGAAAAGAGACCCGCCGTAAACACATATGTTTAGGACAATTTAAACCCTTTGAGTTTTAGAGAAATCAACAAATTATCAATACTTGTTCTATGAAAATTTAAATATAATGGTAATAAACACATCTATCCACAACAGATATATGCACATGTCAACCACGTGCGCAGTGGAATGATATGAACGAGGAAACTCGAGGTAAAAACAGAACAGTTTTTCCGATTTGCTGTGGTGGGGTTAAAATCGCTTTTTTTCATTAATCAGACGATGCGATGTTACAAATTAAAGTAGTAAGTTATTTAACCTAAGGATTATTACTTAATAATTTCTTGTCTTGATGTTGTCATGGTCGCATTCCTTCTAAAATCAATGTTATTTGAACTCTGTTTGACAGACGAATGGCTGACGTAATGAACTTATGGCCTCAGGAAGATCCCTATAAGAAAAATCAAATTTTCAACAATTATGGGTAATGACAAGAAAAAAGCGAAACAAATGGCTGTAGCTATATTATCAATGAACCGAACTGACATCATTTTCAGTGCATTTTTCATTTCGTGAATGCTGTAGCCGCGCAGTTCTAACATGATTAATTTACTTCTAATTAAAGCAAAATACATTTAGTTATTTACTAATTTTGATCTCTAACAGTAGATAATGAGTGCATTAGCACTTTGAGTAACGTTGTGCTAGTTTTGTAGAGTATTAAGCGCATTCTTGGTATTTCTCATTTTACACCAGACTAGATCCAATATGGCTTGTACATCCCCCTTAATATAAATGGATATTGTTAAATACATTTTTTATCGAAGATGAGGGGTATACTTTTCTTAATTTTTCTCCAATATTCATAAATCCGACGGATTATTGAAAGTTCGTGCACTAGCGCTATGAATGAAAACTATTAAGGAATACAGCAAATAATTTTTATACTTTTAATTAATTGCCAGTGTTTTCGTAAGCAATGGAATGACCACGTAGAGAAACCTCAAAATACGATGTCGTATCTCTACAGTGAATCTAACGGAGACAAATGAATATTTGTCGTCCAATTTTAACCCATGTGGAGGGACACAATTGTCAAATTTACCTTATTTTGTCAATTTCCTGAGATCTAAATAATCTTAACAAATTTATCTCAAATTCTTTTGTAGGTGTATAACAAAGACACCTGAAAGGGTTGATTTTTTCACAAAATTAATAATCAAGAAGTTTAACTTTGAAAAATACGCATTAACTTTGAATGGTTTGAACAGCGTTGAGAAAGACAAAAGGTGACCGTAATATGAATTTAATAGAAAAAAAAACAACTTAAAATTGTAGCTTGAGAAGTTCCAAGATTTAAATAGCCTGTTACTTTTCATTGTAATAAACTTTATCACAAAATAAAAAGAAAGTTAAAAATTATGCAAATATATTAATACTTAAACATCAAACCATTCCGTTAGAACGCAAAATTTTCGCTTTTATTTGCGAAAGTTTCATGAAATGTCAAGAAAGTTTGTATTCGCGATACCTTCCGTGCTAACACAGAAGTTACACGTTTATTCGCGAAATTAACCCGTTATAACGCGAAAGTTCCGCGTTTATTCACGAAATTCACGCATTATACTACGACGTTCCTTTGCAAAAGTTTCGCCTTTTAACGCGAAAGTTACGCGTTTATTCGCGAAAGATTCGCATTATAACGCGAAAGTAACGTGTTTATTCACGAAAGTTTCACGTAAAACACAAAAGTTGTGCGCTTATTTACGAAATTTTGTCGTTATATCGCGAACGTTTTGCGTTATATCGCGAAAGTTACTCGTTTTTTTGCGAAAGTTTTGCCTTTTTACGCGAAAGTTACGCGTTTGTTCTTGAAAGCTTTGCGCGCGTTATGACGCAAAAAGTAAGCGTTTACTTGCGAAAAATTCGCGTTTTTTTTGCGAAAAAATTATTATCTTAACCTACTAAAATAAGCTCAATGGGCTTTCGTATTAACGAACAAATAAATGTTGAGAAAAAGGGGTGTGAGTCACAAACAAATACTACGAAACTATGATAGGATTATACCGCAACCATCACCACCCCAAAAAAAGGGGGGGGGGGTCGTTAAGTGCCTTTTAATGGACAAGTTTCACATTAAGAGGATATATTTAGGGGAAAAGTTGGTGTGAGGAGCCGATCCTCCCCGCCTTTGATCCAATAGTCATATATTGTTTCCAGTTCTTCAATAACAAATTCCATTCTTATCACGTAATTACACATGTTTGGTTATCTAGTCTCGCTCACAGGCCTTCTGGACGCTTTCATCGAATTTTAAAATAGTTTGGGGTCTTAAAAACGATACTCGATATGCCAGAGCATGAACGATAGTGAGTAGTGTGGGATATTTTGCATTACGGGCAATTTGTGGTAGTGAATACGTATCCAGTATATTGCACAAAAACTAAGAAATTCGTACACGTAGTATTGGAAACCTTTTTTTGGGAAGAAAGACAAGTTTGACAAGGTTCATCCAGGTTTAGTTGAGAAACTATAGCATTATGGCTTTATAGTGTCAAACGCTAAAATATAACGCTGCAGTTTTTGCAGCTAATTCAGTTGAGATTGTCGAGACTACATGACAATTTTGTCAACTCACCGTTGATTGAATCTTTAAACATTGTATATGTCGTTTTGAGAAGGAAGGGGGAGGAGTTACGGGTAAATAATTCAGAGTAACTTTTAGGTAAGTCGCTTTTGACGGGATACACTTTATATAAATATTCATTTTTCATCTAACTTCACACTTCTTACATGATTCTTTTATGTAATGAAGCACGTAGTATCGTTTCTAGAAAAATTGTGGGGGGGGGGAGTAATTGAAAATTTTACTTAAAAATCATGTGGAGGATGATAGATCCAACATTTTTGTATTAAACCAAAAGTGAAGCGATGTTTGAAAAAAAAGGGTGGGGGCGGCTTTCAAATTTTATCTATGTGCCTGTGAAAAGTTATTTGAATTGACACTGATATTCATACAATTTGCTGTCTTTTAAAAAAAGGACTGCAATACGTGGACCATATGTATATTTTTTCTAACTGAAATTCAATTAAGAAAATTGTTAGGTGTAGGGAATATTCATGTAGGTTTGTTCACTTTTTCTACAATGATCTGCCTACTCATAACTGGTCGTAGTCTCAGAGCAAAATTGTGAAATTTTATCTCCGATTAGCGACCTTTATTTTCGTCAGTTTAAAAAATCAGGTTATTTTGATACATGTAACTCATACTGGCTGGGACTTGACATCTGTTCTGGATTTATACGGAAGAAATTTATCATGGGAAAAATGGAGATCTGATGGTTCACGAGCAGCACAGCTCTGTAGTACGCAGAATTTTTTTGTCGGAGCCCCCTCCCCCCCCCCACACACACACACATTAAAAGTCGTTGCTACAGACCTTTATCAAATGATATTTAGATTGCTAAAATATTAAATCATTTTGCGAGCCTTGATGCACAAAACTAATGCCGTGAAAACTTGCTCTATCTTTCAAAAGCTATCTCTATTCGTTGTGTGACGTTTTTCATTCAAGTTTTAAGTTACATGTATGTGAATACTGTAACTTCTTAAATGCTTGTATCATAGAATCAATGTTATATCGATGTTATATAAAAGTATATGTAAAAGAGGGAAAATCGAATTTTCCAATGGATATGTAAATGCGATATGCAGATTTAAAAGCGCGATTTGCCAATGAATGGCATATTCTAATTCGAATAGGGCGAATTATTCTACGGGCAAGAAACCTAAGGTGCAAACTCTCTAGCATTCTCGCGCATGCGAAGCCTGTCGTTTGCCCAGGGCATCCGGTTTAACCTCGCTTATATATTTACTGCGTGGACCTCAGGGTCCACGCAACTAATCATGAACGCCATTTCCTCCATTTAAGTGCGTCTTAAACAAACAAACAAACTGGTCTGAAGAGCTCTACAAGATTCAGAATTTTGAACTTTTGAAGACTGTCCAAACCGGAAAATAAAGATATAGAATATGCATTCAAACCAGAACATTCTCATAATTCAAACTACATCTGTTACATCAGGTAATTAAAATTTAAACATTTTTAAATATATTTCTTAAATGGGACACGAATTACACTTCAATGCCTTATTTGTAAAATGATTTTTTTTCGTTTGGATACTTCAGATTTTAAATACATTTGATACTATTTTTAACAACCACAAATAAAATCTTACTAAACAGGTAAGAGTGTCATGTGCATCGATAAAAATGGCATCAACGAGTTATTTAACTGCACCCTTTAAACAAAATTTAAATACACCATTTTGATAAACAAAATGCTTTTCAAATTTCAATAAAACAAGAGAAAAAATCATATTTACCAAAATATAGACCTAGAAAAGGGACACAATATTCACCGCTTGTACATTTTACGCCATTTTCACTTCATCCAAACATGTCACAACCGTCGCGGATACACCACAGTGAGAGTGGCGGATGGCTGCATGCGAATTTAGCGTTTTACAGAGAATTTTATATGGAAGGAAAATCGTTCATGTAAAATTGTTTTGAACATATTTTATTGACAATATGTCAAAGGGATTGGACACAATTAATTTCTCGAAAACATAGATAAGTTCTAAAAAATGGAAAGTATACATGTCATTACTCACTGTCTCTATGAACTTCACGCCCTACACTCTATGCACTTATTTTTTGTATTGTGTCAATGTGCAACATGGCATAGAGCACAAAGCGGGGGGGGGGGGGGGGGTTATGACTGGGTTGCCCAATTATATTCTGTTATAGTAAATTCTCATTTTGATGCTGGTTGACCTCTCCACTTTTTGCTGTAAGATCAAGCACTGGCAAATTCTACTGTTGCCCCCACCCTTTTTGGACAGTTTTGTTTGCAAAATATCTTAAATGTTCTCACTTCATTCGCCGATCACAATATACATGTACAATATCATCATCCCCCTGCCATACCTTGATCACACAACTCACCCGCTGTTCCGCTGTATCCAGATACTGTCAGTCTATATTTATTGTTTTCATCTCCGATGTAAAATGTAGAGTACACAGCATATGCCTTTTCTCCGTTAAAACTCTGGAGATTTATTCGGAGTTCTTGGTTTTTATCCCTTGTCAAGGCGTGGATTGCATCATTTCCTATATATATATATATATATATATATATATATATATATATATATATATATATATATATATATATATATATATATATATATATATATATATATATATATATATATATATATATATATATATATATATATATAATCCAAAGTATGAGAAAAAAGTCCACACAAGTATTTAGATAATACAAAAATTAAAAGAACGCCGATTAAACTCTATCGGTTTCAGTGATATCATAAAGAGAAAAAAACATTTTTATTTTTTAATAAATATCTATATACACATGTACAAATATATCAGATTGCATAATAATATTCCAAAGATTTTCGTGTTCTTTAGAATTTTTTACCAGTCTCTTCTGACCACCTTAATATGTGTATTTTTGTTTTGCATCGTTTACTTAAACAAAAGACTTTTTTCACTTTCAATACTGCTGCTACTTTCTTTTAATCCATCAGAAAAACTACAATGTAGCGCATTGAAGTGGTAAAATTTCCCGTTTGAATGGAACGTTTTGAGCTATCTTTAGAATGTTGATTTTCATACAGTGACACGCCCATTTCTTTCGAAAGGAAAAATCGGTCAAATTTTTCATTTGAAATCCTGTAGAACAGGTATTCCATAAATATAATAGCCAATCAAATTGACGGTCTACATAAACACAGACTAAGCACGTGTTCGACCGATACATGTGTTGGAAACTCCAATAAACATGATAAATTCATAATTATGTAAAAATTCGTTGCAATACGTATTTTACAGAAGCAAGAATTCTCTAAGTCTCTCTTATAACTTTAAAAATCTCCATTTCAGTGAAACTCAGGTTGCTTATCGCAAAGAGTGGGGTGTCCTAAAACATTTCATATTTCTTGTTCGTTTCTAAAGAAATGGGCGTGTCATTCTGGTATAATTGACGTTCATAACATGACTCTGAACGTTTCATCCAAACGGAAAATTTTACCACTTCAATGCGCTTCATTGTAGCTCATTTGAGTTGGCGTCAGTCATTTAACAATAACAAAGGAACATAAATTTATATTGAAAACATTGCTGTGATGTCATTCCTTTGTTCTTGCAGTCTAAAAATTTACCTGTGGCAGTTCGATATTAGTGAGGAATCGGATTTTAATCGTAATATCAGATTGTCTCAGTACTGATATCTTGCAAAATTGGACTGCTATCGAGCAAAAGAAATAAAAAAAAATGATAATTTAAAATTCTGCAATTCTGTTAGATCAGTGAATTAAACTTTCAAATACACCGAATAAATTGTAAGATTAAGAAGAACATGCCGCAGACCAGATAATACAAATAAAAAACAAACAAACAAACAAAACAAGCAAGACATAAACGGGTTAAGTTCTATTAAACTTATTAAAATTGGAGAAGTGTTTCAACCCATTTCTCTGGTTTTTGAAAAAGATTGGGCGCATTGGGATTCACTAAAGAAGCACAAAAACTTTCAAAACCGCCAAAATAAATTCAAAATAAAACACAAACTTTTGACACTATTATAAAGAACAACATTCAAACAATTTGATTTAATTTTTCTTATAGAAAGAAAAACGCCTCTGAAAAATCAAGGTTACTAGGCCTAGCATATGATGACAATGATTTGAAAGTTTTTAAGTACCAGTCCACATAAAAATCAGACAAAACTGTAAAAAAGTGATACATGAAGGTTTTCAGAATTTGATGATTTTCCACTCATAGATTTATTTTGAAGTATAAACAATGTATGTAAAATGAAAAATGTTTTGAGTCATGGTAACCATGGAAACCCGGCCAAAGAAATTTCCTTAGCAACCGGCGGATTTTTCAGTGTTGAAGGACAAAAAATCACCTATCTTTGAGGCTTAAAATAACACGTAAATACCATGAAAATTATTCTTACTTATGGGTGTAATAAAGATACACATTTATTGTGTTCTAATAATGTAATAAAAAATATTTAGGTCTTAAGTCAGTTCTGTGGTAGACATTGGAAGGTACACATGTTTTACAAGTTTTGCTGATTCAGCATTTTTCATGATTTTGGCAATATTCAAGGCCAAATTTTAAAAATGGCCAGATTAATACAGTTGTTGCATGTATCTCACATAAAAGCAGAGGTATTTCTCTTTTAGAATTTGAAGTCAAATCCATGGGCTCTTTTGAAAGTCGAATCTGTTGCCTAGCAACAAAAATGAGCTTTTTGATGCATAAAATGAGAAACAATGTAAAACGTTTACAGAAAAATCAAATGAACGGTTATTTATGATAAACGAGATATAAATTTTAAAATACTATAATTAAATTCGGTCTCCCTAGCACATAATTGAATATTGCATAATTCTTTATCTCCATAGCAACGGCAGGTTTTCCATAGCAACAAGGCAAAGAAAGGTAATTTTGGCGTGTATTCGTGTAATCTTATTAAGGCTTATTCAAATTAAGTCAGAAAAATGTGATTGAGCAAAACTGACAAAGATACGTTGGTCAATCTTAATTTTTTTTTTCGTCTTTCATCAACACATGGCAATGATTCCCAGTGCATGGCAACCAATGTACCCTATGCTTTCTGTAAAGAGATTTGACTTTTGGATCAGTGTTCGTCATGGAAATGAATATTAAATTAATGTGTTGATGATTGTATTTGTGGAGAGTGCTGAAAAAATATATGAAATGTTCCATCAATTGTTGTCATGGCAACAACTACATGTGAGTGAATTTAAAATGGGGCGAGTTCAACAAACACAGTATAAATTCTTAAACAGAACTGTGACTGGGCGAATTTAAAACGGGGCAAAATTTCTTGTATGTGTGAACGGGCGAAAATCATATGATACCAAATTAAGGATGTTTTCCATAGATAATGTTTTAATGTAACTTTTACGATATTGTGGATTAGATTCAAGACACTCACGGTGCATTGTTTCAATGGCTGCATTTTATTTCCGGAACTGTTTTCATTTCCGATATTTTAAAGTTTTCATCTCTGACATTTTTCAAGCAGTACTTTTCTGCAATGAAAGTAGCAGGGAATTAAGACTGAACTCATGAAAAATATTACAGAATAAATCATGAATAAATCATTGAAATCCAAAATAATGAGTTTTGCAATTGACTTTGGGTTATGTATTAAACCAAAGGCCATGACATGGGGGGGGAGGGGGTTAGGTTCGATATTCAGTACCAATTTTTTTCCAAACAGCACCACTTTGAATTCCTAATTTTAAACCTATTTTGCAACGTGTCTGTAGAAAGTGGGGGGCTAAACCTACGCAGCAATGTTCAATGTCTATACTAGAAAAAGGCTAAGCCCCTAGCCCTAGACTATATTTTGTGGCGGAAGGTTTTTTAGACAAAAATCATCAATTTTTCCATTTTGAACTATAACAGTACTGTAAATTTTGGATTCCTATTTTTCCATCCTGGTTGTACAAAAAGCTGTTTTTTGCAGTGAAATGTGTTATGCTGGTTCTAAAATATCTATTAAATTACTGAGTATTTCTTTTGAATTCTATCAATAAAGTGTGACAAATAAAGTAAATATATTCTGAAAATCCGGAGGAAAATTGAGCCAATTTTAACGTAAAACTGACACATTTTTAGTAATATCTGAAAATTTGCATCATATACCCCCACTTTTGATGTTCTTTTCTAAATATTCAAGATAAATTTGGCCTATTTGCTTAAAATTAAAAAAAAATTAAGACTTTAAAATACTTTTCTTGCTTATTAAATTTTCAATGCCAGAAAAATCACTTTTTATTAGTACAGAAAGGTCAAATAATTGATTTGCGAAGCAATTTGAAATTTTTTCTTAGTCACAAATTTAAGTGTCTTTTTTAAAACAAACTTAAAGTTAATTTTGTTTCATGCTTTATTAAGACACAAATTCCAGTGCAAAAAGGTCATATTAAATGTACTGTAGCGCTAAAAGAAGCGTATTGATACCCATTTTTTGATTTGAATTTTAACTAAGCTATGTATGTAGAAACTAAAAATATACTCGGCAAAAAAAGTTTAAGACTTTAAATATCAGGATCGAACATCGTTAATTAATTTTACCCAGGAGCAGAGAAGATTTTCAAAGAAATAATGTATTTTCACTATATAATCTAATTAGCCCAGCCCTAGCATATAGAACCCCTGACCCTGGGGCAAAGAATCTTACTATTTTGGTACAGTGTAGAGGACTCAATGCTTATTACAATCATTCCAACAGTTTCACTGCTTGATGTCTAGAAATAAAGAAGATTTTTAAAGACTGCATTAATTTTAGTGGTTTTGGTCCCACCCCTCAGGCCCCAGGGACCCTGAAATTCACAATTTTGTGTTCCTCTTTTACCCATAGATGGGTTATTTCAAATTTGGTTGAAATTGGTTCAGTGGTTCCAGAGAAGAATCTAAAAATGTTCAAATGTTTACGACCGCCGAATGACGTACGACGACGAACGAACAGAGATAGCAATAGGTCGTCTGGAAGACTCAGGTGACCTGAAATTCTCAGAGGCACATCTCCCTTTTAAAGTGCAGTTTTAAGTTTGAACTCAGATATGCAAGGATGGAAATTAAAAGGCATACAGAAACCACTTCTGGTAAATACAGACCCTTAGTAAGCAATTTCGTGGGTGGGGGTGGGGTGGGGATTACAACCATATATTTTCAGTTTGGGCACTATCAACAACCGAAAATTCCTTGGCAAACAAACCAAAAAATAAAAGATCGTCAGATATTATTATTATTATTGAGGGGGGACATGTATATTGTAGTGAAGTTGTCAATAGTATTCTATAGCTAAGTATCGGCATAATAACCCCCCCCCCCCCCCCGCTTCTTACACGGCCATAGGAAAAAACAATCATCGTTGAAGGAATTCTCAAAAGTCGGTAGAATGTTTTTAATATGAAGACATCACAATTACGCCTGTACATGTAGCACAGGGAAAGATATTAATATAAGTATTATTGCTACTTGTATAAGTATATATTGAATTATAAATATGTTTTTATTTTTTGAACATGAAATAAATTTATTTAAAATTTTATTTCCAGCTGTTTGGCAAGCAAAAAAATTATCAGAAAGGGATCCTGCAGATATCCAAGAAATACAAAAAATGTCGGAAAGGAAATAAAATTGTCGGAATTGAAATTTTAAGCATGTCGGAAATCCTATGCGAAATACTGGAAATTAAATGCAGTGAAAGAAAACATGAATATGAAATGACCAAGCACACAAAATTGTGTGCACCTAATAAAATCCATAACCCTGGTAATGTTTATCTAGCATATATTGTGTTCATTTGAGATAATTTCCATTTTTCAAAAGATAAGATATTTATAAGCTTGTATCTTTAACTTGTTGTTGGGAAGCTGACACTTATTCAGTTTACAAGGAATCTGTAGCTCTGGAGCTTCAAACGCTATTACCCAGAGAACAGGCCTATAGCAACGCGTATCAAAGTATTGGGAGCAACCTCCAACATCACTCACCTGAGCACATGGGCTAGGTAAAAACAAATGAGCTCAGCACTCAAAAGTTTACTTAGGGAAAGGAGGGGGGTGGACTTGAATTGTATACTTCTTGCCACCATATCAATATAAATTACTGGTATTAATGCAAAAACTTTGGGCCAGGATAGATGAAACTTCTGTAGAAGCATCCTCAAGAAGTGTACATTCAAGTTTATTCAAGTCATGACCCCCGGTGGTAGGGTGGGGCTACAATGGACGACCAACGTTTTACATAGGAATATATAGGAAAAATCTTCTTAATAACAGCAAAGCCATGATTGGTCATATTTATATGGAAGCATCCTCAGGTAGTGTAGATTCAAGTTTGTTCAAATCATGACCCCCGGGGGTACAGCCACAATGGATGATCAAAGTTTTACATAGGAATATATATAGGAAAATATATAAAAATCTTGATTGGTCTTGTTCAAATGTTAGCATCCTCAGGTAGTTTAGATAAAGATTTGTTAAAATCATGACCCCCAGGATTGGGTGGGACCAAAGTACATAACTTATTTGGAATAGAGCCACAGTTAGTCAAAAAATATGTAAGCACTCTTAGTTAGTGTAGATTCAAGTATGCATAGATTCAAGTTCAGATCACCCCCTCTTTTAGGATCGGGACCAGTTAGGCATCTACTGAATTGATTTTTCCTAGCCACAGTGCTCAGGTGAGCGATGTGGCCCATGGGCCCCGTGGTACCTGGATGAGTTCGATGTCAGTTGTTTTGTTTTTGTTGCATAATATTTCCATTTTAAGATATGAACTGATCGGATACATGAAGATGGCCCTCTGACCATCGTTTGCATAATTTTTGAAATATGTTTGCACTACATTATAATGCAAATCTCACCAAACAACATACAAAAATAAAGTTTCTACTTGTGTGACTAGCCATGTTTCAAATTCATTTGTATTTGATCTAGCTTTGGAGATCTTGCAATATTTCTTTCAAATGGTGTAAACTTCAATTTTACGTAAATAACCGTAACTGACTGCGATGCGACTTTTCTTATTTTGATTTATTTTAATTTGCCGCGTCGCCCTCATGGAGCAGTGGTTAGAGCGTCTTCTCTAGAGTCACGAAGTAAGGAGCTGATCCTTACGTCGCGGGTTCGAATCCCACTGTGGGATGCAGTAGGTGCTGCCTTTGAGCTACTGGGAACGTTTTTTTTCGTTTGGAAAAAAACTCCAATCTATGACAAGTATCAATAGAATAATTAAAACCTTATCTTCCTATTCAATTGGAAATGTTTCCATAGTGACGTTATTCATTTTATTTATCTATTTAATTTCATGAGGAATTAATTCATACATTGTAATACTTTCTGAAAAATCTGTGACGAGTGCCGAATCTTTCAATATTATAAATAACGACTACAGAGTATCCCATACTGAAAATGTAACATTGTTTGCTATGTGCTAGAAATAGTTGTTATGGATTAAATGAGTTTAAAAATCATCATTTTTTTCTTCAGGATGTGATTTAGATAAAGATTTACAGGTAACACATGAATATGCGTCAAACTTTCTTTGTGTCGTTGCTAGGGGAGTGGTGTTGTTGCTACATTGTATGGAAATAAGTCATTGAACAATATTCAATAACTTGATACAACATTTTAAAGTCTTTCAGAACTATCACCATGGAATTATCAGCATATTATTTGAATATCCAATTCCATGACAAACAATACAATCCCAAAGTCAAATCTGTTTTACAGGAGACATAGGAACTTTGGTTGTCATGTACACGGAATCCTTGCCATATGGGTTGATTAAGTACAAAAAAATAACAATAATAAAACCAACATTTCATTGTCAATTTTGCTCAACCGGATTTTTCTGACTTATTTTGAATAAGCCTTAATAAGATTACACGAATACACGCCAAAATTACCTTTCTTTGCCTTGTTGCTATGGAGATAAAGAATTATGCAATATTCAATTATGTGCTAGGGAGACCGAATTTAATTATAGTATTTTAAAATTCATATCTTGTTTATCATAAATAACCGTTCATTTGATTTTTCTGTAAACGTTTTACATTGTTTCTCATTTTATGCATCAAAAAGCCCATTTTTGTTGCTAGGCAACAGATTCGACTTTCAAAAGAGCCCATGGATTTGACTTCAAATTCTAAAAGAGAAATACCTTTGCTTTTATGTGAGATACATGCAACAACTGTATTAATCTGGCCATTTTTAAAATTTGGCCTTGAATATTGCCAAAATCACGAAAAATGCTGAATCAGCAAAACTTGTAAAACATGTGTACCTTCCAATGTCTACCACAGAACTGACTTAAGACCTAAATATTTTTTATTACATTATTAGAACACAATAAATGTGTATCTTTATTACACCCATAAGTAAGAATAATTCTCATGGTATTTACATGTTATTTTAAGCCTCAAAGATAGGTGATTTTTTGTCCTTTAACACTGAAAAATCCGCCGGTTGCTAAGGAAATTTCTTTGGCCGGGTTTCCATGGTTACCATGAATCAAAACATTTTTTATTTTACATACATTGTTCATACTTCAAAATAAATCTATGAGTGAAAAATCATCAAATTCTGAGAACCCTCATATATCACCCTTTGTCTGATTTTTATGTGGACTGGTACTTAACATTTCCCTCAAAACTTCTGGATTATTGATTATGTTTGTTATCTGTAACAGAACATCAAAAACAAAGGTATACTATGATGTAGACGCTTAACATAAAAAAAAAATGAAATGCACTATTGTACCATCAGCATCTGCTTAATTATTTGTGGTTATTCTTCATTTCTGCTTTTTTCATTCCATTCCAGATTTATCATTCACTAGATTGTCTGTATGATAATTCGTTGCCCTGCTTTAATCTCCGTGCATGTTTTAATAAAGAAAGATTTTGCCCCCACTCTCCTTATCAAATTCTTTCAAATACCTTCAGTGTAGCCAAATCCCCAAATACTGAGTACTTTTTATTTAAGCTTGCATTCTTGAAAGAATAGCTTCAGTGGTCATAAACACTTTTTTCTTTTGTTCTAATACGGACCGTCTCAGGTAGATCAAAAGCAAAGTTTTAAGTACGATATATGCCGAATACATTTCTGTATTAAGGTAGGATTCTTCTCACATTTCTTGTATTTAAAAATTAATGAAATTTTTACAGAAACAGGACGACAATATCACTAAGTGATGGTATCATTGAGATTAAATTTGACCGTTTAATATTAGAGGCAAGGTCAGGTGAAGGTCATTACCTTTTTCCTGGACAATAAGAATTGAAAAAAATACTGTTTTCAATCACGCGATCCCTACTTGTAATTCAACAGATTGAATGTTTTTCTTTTTGCATAAAAAGATACTACCATATAGGGCCTATTAGATGATATTACCAAATTGACATGGATAATTTAAATAAAATGTATATTTGATAATCCGAATTTCCTCTACTTGTCTTAAATTTTTAGGATTTCTTAGTTATTTTTATATGCTTCCTATATTTAACTTTTTCTAATTTTCACATATAGTAAAGTTGTCACGTAAAGGTACAACATGATACAAAAACTAATAGTTTGGATCGTTTACTAGGAGAGAAATAACACTTTTTACGGATTTTTGACCCAAATCTGTACGTAGATTTGAAGCATTTAAAAGCCAACATAGTTATAGTATGTGTGAAAAATCTTATCTATTTGATATATTTTGAAACTTTAGTCCCTTATTATAAATTTAATTTACATTTGAAAATTTCGTCTAGTCTTTGATTGCGTAAAAATTATAACTAAATTCAATGTTCTATAATAATTTTGAGATGCAGAAAAGAAGATATTTTCATACGCCACCATTCCGCCAAAAATATAGTCCCTGCTAGTTTTCAAACGCAGGTTACCATTTCTATTTAAAATTGTATAATTGTGATGAGGAAAGAAAAATATGGTCTTTTAATTCTCTTACATTTACATATATAAGACATATCAACAAATATACTTTGAATATTCCATCTAGTCAGAAACCAGAGAAGAATCCTACCTTAAAAAAGATATCAGACAGTTTTCGACCCTAACGGGCCTCAAAGTGTCTGATATTTTTTTAAATACAGAAATGTATTCGGCATATATTCAATACTTATATATAATCATACCTATCCAGAAGTTTTTTGAGACATTCCCAAAGCCATGTTTATAGTCGATCCATGTCCTGTAGAAATCTACGTCACCATCCTGTCGTTTCTGAATGACCTGTAAAAAATCCTAGATATCTTATTTTATTGCCTCTTCTAAAAATAAACACCAACCACTATGTTACATTCTCTTTCATTTGTTGAAAATTTTCAAGCTAGAATATATGCAAGTGTATAGTATTTGGCGATATAGAGGCTGTTTGGAACTATACTGAATATTGTAGATTTGTTTGAACATCTAAAATTGTCCTTGTGTTCAAGATCAAATCATTTTTTTTTAGTTTCTTCGTTTTTTTTTTCTTATAATTGTCATTGTGTAAAAGAGTTTAGAAACTAAATCCACGCAGATAAATATTTTTGTTTAGTTTCTTCGTTTTTCTCTGTCCGTGATTGAGTAAAGTTAAATCCCAGAACTTCTGATTAAAATTCTATTGCCCTTTTTAAATGTTAGGGTTCGTCACTCAGTGTTTGGTTAATGCTATAATAAAATAGAATGGTGTTGCTTTGATTGTGACTCCTTATTCAGTTGCTAATGTAGCAGGACAGCCATAATATCATCATGATAAAGTTTTGTTAGGTTTGTTTTCAAGATCTCTAACATGTGTAACTGTCTTAGATTTTCAACATAAGCACAAATCAAAACACTACTCACAATCCACCCTCCCCCATCTGTTGTCATCTCACAGAAGACCTCTCTACGGGTGTCAGGGTAAATAACGTACACACTGTCTTTTCCTTTCTTGCTTGGGTCTCTTTTCACAATATCTGAACAGTCTTTGTATATTTTTTCTATTCAAATAAAAAAGTAAAAAAAAAAAAAAAAATTCAATAGATAATTTCTATAAACTTATAACTCGAATTGTTTATCATGTTTTCAAACATAAAATCAATGGATATTTAAGTATTTCTTGATACTTCTTTAATTCATAAACGAATGCTATAAACGAATGCTCCGTAAGTCTGAATACTTTCTTTTGGACCTTTTCAAATATTATTACACAATCTTAAGGTGTAGCAATTTCAATCTGGAGAATAAAATAACTAGCCATAAGTCATAGTAAAATAAAATTTTAAATATGAATTAATTGGAAATTTATCATGATCAAAAAATTTGGTTGAAAAATATAACATTATTTGCAGATTGCAAAGTTATAAACTCAATGACATTGACAAAAAAACTATAAAGAAAACCCGTATTTTGGAAAGTCATGAGTCTTTATTTTATGTACCTACATAAACATCAACTAGTGTTAAAATTTGTATGGAATAAAACTGACGGAAGAAAACGGAATGCAGGCATACGGTGACGTCTCCATAATAGTGAACAATTCTCAAGAGGTACATGTACATTAAACAACATACAATCAATCAATCATTTGATGTAAAATATCAATACCAATATAAATATAAACCAAGAAAATGTAAACCCTTGTTTACTTAAATTTAAATTTAATTTAATTCAATGAATATTTCATTCACTGATGTTAGTGTGAATAGGATAGGTCAGCAGGCTAAGCCTATTTTAGCACTCTGCTAAAAATATCCAAACATGTTTTATGAAAACAAGATCTTGTGATTTAAGGTGAAGAAATTGCACAGATTAAGAAGGAGCATTGCAGAAGGTAAGACGTTATAAAGAGTTAACTGATTCTTAATGTTTAAAAAAAAAATTATTTGCCTCATTTACATTCAAAATAAGTCCAAGAATGTATTATTTATAAACGAATGTTCTTTAAGGATACTTTATACACCAGTGCAAAATGTTTTTGGACTACAAGAAAATTATGAATAAAGGTGTAAATATTGAGCTTATATATTAAACTTTGAATTTGATACGTGGCATTTATCCCCAAGAACAAAAATTTCAAACACAACACAGTATCAGTGAACAGAAATAAACGTTGTTAATTTCCTTGTAAAAATATATATGGATAATGTTTTCAATTAATTAATCTTGGCCTTTAAAATGTTAAGAATATTTCAATTTATTACAAATTCAGTTATAATCTGTAAATTTCTATTTACTGGAACTTAGATCTAAGGACAGATCACTTTAACTGCAGAAAAAAGACTTAAATCAGAACTCTTTAGTGTATAATGTAGAGAGGGTTCTTAAATCTATATATTTTCGTTTTGGACTTTTTAAAATAATTTTACAAAAATTGAAGGTATAACTCTTGCAATCTGGAGAGTTAAATATCTAGTCATAAGTCTTGATAAAATAAATGTTAAATATGAGTTAACGTGAAATCTATCGTGATCAAGAATTTTGGTTGAAAAATATACAATTATTTGCAGATCACAAGGTTATAAACTCATTGAAATTGACAACAACTATGAAGAAAACAAGTATTATGGATAGTCATGATGAGTCTTAATTCTATACACCTACGTATACATCAACGCGGCCTTGGTCAGGACAGGTCACCTCGTGGGGCAGGTCGAGGGTCCTTATCTCACCATGTTGTCCTCAAAAGGGGTAATGAATTGTATAATAATATTCGGTTTTTAAAGTAAATATATTCGGTATAAAATATTTCAAAGATAGTGTAGAAAGTAGTTTGTGTTTAAGACTTCTGTATCAAGGTGGTAAATGAAATGATAATAATTGTTAGTCGATTTCGTGCATTTTATGTGAATAATTAATACCGAAAATACTAGTAAATATGAACTAGAAAAATGTAAACCTTTTTTTTGTTTATATAAGAAAACGATTACATTCAGTCATGATTGCAGAAAAATTCACATCCGCCAACACTAATTATGCATTTTTTTCAGCATTATCGTAACCAACATTTTTGTATAAATATTTTTTTCATTGCTTAAATATGAGAGATTATTGCTTTTTACAGTAAAACCAACTAATGAAAATTTTATTGTCTTCTTTAGTCAATTATCTTGACTAATTTGATAGATTTAATATTATGTAAAACTTAAATGAGAAATATAAAACGCATAAATGTATTATGTAAGCAAAAACCTGCATTCTTTAACGAGTAAACACATTTTCATCTTAGCTCTAAATCTTTTTTTCTAAGATTTTTTTAATTATAGAATATCTTAAGAGTTAAAAAATACGTGCAGCCTTGTTTGTATAGGAAAATCATTGCATTCATTCATTAATGATCGCAGAAAAAATAAGTGGACTCTTCTGCACTGTAGTTACAAAATTACTGTATGAGTATTTCAGTGTTTAAATGGTTTTGTTTTTATTTCACCGTACATGTATAACCAAGTAAGTAAATTTCCACTGTCTTCTAAACTAACTTATGTTGATTAATTTGATAGATAGAAATATTTAAAAGTGGAATGGAAAATGTCAAAGTATGTATTATGTAAAGAAGAGCTTGCATTCTTTAACACAAGTGAATGCATTATCAAGTTATCTCTAAATCCTCTAAGGGTGTTAGACGAAGGGGAACGATTTTAATTTGGGACTGGCTGGAGAGCTGTGTTTCGTAAATGACACTTTTATGAGATTAATTAAGACTAGGTATTACTAAAGAAATGAAATACTTACAAGGTAAGCACAAGGCTGGAGTCAATTACTTTGAAAATGCAATTGAATACTTTCAAATATATAAGTAGTTTTGTGAATCATTTGCAATTAAAATACCCGCACAATTGATTTTCACAAACATAACTGATTATGAGTAAAGAATGTATTTATATATATTTCAATTATTTCTGTTTGATTTTACAAAATTTTGGAGACCCATATTTAAAAATTTTCAAAATTTTAATGTCTGTTAATGTTAGGGATATAGTTAAAAATAAATAACATACGGTGTGTGTGGTTGGGAGTTTCATCATTCAAAACCTGTTCATATATAAGATGTTTAAAGATGAACAGGAAAAAATTCTTTCTGATTAATAATTTGCTATTTTTATTGATTTTAAATTTGAATCTTTTAATTGTGTAAGAAACATATATAGAAATATGAAGGTAAACTAATAAACTAATTAGTCAATGTCTTTTTTAATATGATTCTTTGATAATTTCGATTCTCTCAAATAAAAAAAGCTTTAATTTTAAAGGTTTGACCTCTCCCATGCAAACACTTTATGATAAGTAAGAAAATGATGTCAAATAATCGATATTGACACACAGACAATTTTTGAATTAAAAGAACATATACATTAATTAAATGTTTTAAAGTCTAATTTGAGAAATTTTTACTCATACAGGGCTGACCTGCTTCAGATGAAGTACCACAATACTGTAAATCACATATTTTTGTAGGATAAAATTTTCGTGGTTCGTGGAGATTTAATTTCGTTGATGTAGAATTGTTGAGTAGTTATGTATGTCACATTTTATATTTCGTGCGGACATGAATTTGTGGGTCTCTTCACACCTCGAAAACAATGAAAATTAAACCCACACAATTTCACAACATTTTGACCGATTAATGTTTTAAAGGTCATGACAGTAAGGGAATTGCTTTGCATCAACGACTTCTGTGAAAAAAACCTCAGATTTTAAGGTCTTACTCAAAGACCAAGGACCGTTTACTCCAATTATCGAACTCCAAAAAACTTTGATTATAACCTAATTTTATAATCATCACATAAAGAAATATGATAAGAATCTTATATGTTACCTTTTAAAACAGGTACACATTTACCCTGAAGACAAATTGCATCCTCGGTACAGGTATGCTTGGGACACTCGGACGCCAGGTGCTGAAAATAAATCAGTTTACAGTGATAACTCATTTAATATTTGATCAAATTGCTTTTAATCTAAATATTTCAATATCTGATGCAATGCTTACCTTTGGAAAACTTTCCCTGTCAGCATGTATGATTCTGCCTCCGGTCATGAGGCTACTGACTTTTTGGATTGCAAATCTCGTGTTGTTAAGTCGGCATATCATTTTTTCACGTATCCAATCAACTGAGCGACACAACTCAAACTCGTTACAAACCATCATGCACCTTGGAATATTAGCATTCGACAAAAGATTAAAACCAGGCACTGAGGAATTTTCATAATTGCTAACGATTAACGTTATGGGATCAAAGCACTGGGAATGGCATGTCTGTAATAGAGTTAAGGTTTGTACTACAAGGTATACACTGATCACCTTAGGACTTGCTACTATTTCCATTTTAAAGGTTTTCTTCATCGCTTTAGTTGTTACATGGTGGGCACCATCAGGATAATAACCTGTCTGGGATTTCTACATTGTTATAACATATATAATTTATTGATGAGGTGTCACGTGATAGTATTATTTGTGTTTTTGATTGATTTGTTATGTAGGTGAAAGATTGATACCGATTAAGTGTTGTTTATATTTGAAACTTTTAGCTCATTTTTAAAAATAATAATGACGAACGTTCTTACTATTTTTTCTACTATATTTTTTTTCAAATTACTTTGCAGAAAACAAAGAGATCTTCTATTCGTGTTTGTAATTTTAAGTACATACATTACCTCGAGCTCGTACAATTATTGTCGCTTTGTATTTAGACATCTGAGGAATAAAGTATCAACTGCACCTGATGTAGTTATTGTAATTCGGCGTATTATCCAGAAAAACGTATTATTATGCTTCCTGTCAGTTTGTCTCTATATAACCCATACCCTACGATTCTCGCATAGTGGTCTAAGGATTTATATAACGTAAACACACTATGCCGAAATAGTGCACGGCTTTATTTACTGAAGAAAATTCTTCAAGCCGGGGAACCAACTCACGACCATGAGATTGTCAGTCCGATGCCTTATCGATTACGCCACAGAGACGATCACTCATTAGTAGAATTTTATTATATATATGATCTTAATTTATACAATTGACACAAGAAGGAGAAAATAGACAAATATTTTTTGAAAACAGTTATTTTATTCTAAGGAACCTTAGATTAATGTGTACAACAAAGATTCAAACTAATTACATACACAGATCGTTAGATGAACTGATTTCATAGGGTCATCAAAACGCTTTTTTATATGACGCTTGATTGTAGGATGTAAAAGAAAATTATCAATGAGAATCCACGTCTGTAAACAAATCAGTCTTACTAACAAAACAGAAAATAAAGATGAGTATCGTTAGGACAGACTATTCTGACTTATTTAGAGAAAATAGTAAATACTAGTAACCAAAATAAGTAAGCATGCAACTAATTTTAGCATGAAGATTTTGAATGAGTTTTTGCAAGTGCGCTGTTTAAGCACCGATATTTTCAGGAAAAAGTCAAATAGATTGCCGCATAAATAATTACAACAGTCAGCATAATAATAACAATAGTGTTGCATTATGCATGTACTATGCCTAAATAGTAGGCAGGGTTTGACACATAGTGCACTCGCCTCCGGCTCGTGCACCATGTGTCAAACCCTGCCTACTATTTAGGCATAGTACATGCATAATGCAACACTATTATATAATTAAACGTTAATAATATGATTAAAAAATAAATGACAGAAACTCAGATCAATCCATGCCGTCTTATTTTTTGCATTCGCTTATGTCCTTGTCAAACATAATGAGAAAAACGAGATTAAAATCAGCATTTCCAGTTATTTTCATTTTGTATTTATAAATAATATTTAACAAAATTAATGTCAGCCACATATATACATGTATTATTATTTTCCTTTTTAATTGATTCTAAGTACATTATAAGGGGGAAATTATAATCTACCATAATGAAAATTTACGAATAGCCTCCCAAAAAGGGAAGAATTTTCCCGACACCAAGTTTTATTTTTGGAGATGTTAAAAGATCCATTATTGAGTGAGGGTGGGTTGATTTAGAGAGGGAGGTCAGGTAACAGATTGTGCTACCGTCTGCGCTCTAATCCTGCGAGATATGACTGTCATTGACATTTACAGACATGAAACTACTCAAATATTGTTCAGATTTACTTCTCCAGAATATTCGAGGGGTTTTAAGAAAATTTCCATCACTTTTAAGCATTTTGAATATTGGAATGTAGACTATATAGGGTTACATTGATAAGGGTCTCCATCTTTTCTTATATACACTCCACGGATCAGACTTCTGTAATTTTTGAGATCTTTTAGTTTATTTTAAATATTCATGCTGCCTAAAGCGAAATGCTTTAAGATACCAGCATTTAAATGTTGCTAAAAACAACTGTATCAAGGTAAAAAAGAACATTTTACAAAAATGGTTATCAATACACTATAGAGAACAACAAAACACTCTTTGGCGAATTGCTCTGTGTGAAGATTCTAAAGATTCTTTGTTTTAGTAAATTACATGCTGAATTGAACCTAAGTAAATTATGAGAGAGAAGATCCTTAAAAATGATTGTTAATCAATTTTTGATATGGTTTCATAGATGAAAATTGTTTGGAAAATTTTGCCAATTTTGTAATAAGCTAACAGCTAGCTATAATATGCATTTAAACATAGGTTGTTTTAAATTGTTATATGACAGAAAAATCAGGATTGAGAACATTTAAGGAATGACTCTAATTTTTCGCAGATTATAAAAAAGCGTAAACTGACCCAAACCAGGTTATAATCGAATAATTTGGCCAGGAATTAGAGTCATTCCATATAATCTAATTTTAAAATAATTTAACAACTGTGGGTGTAAAATTGTGCTGCTTTTTATGGGTTCAAATTTGCCGCTCAATAATATATCCCTAGTAACGGAAGTAATATGAAACAAGGGGAGGTAATAACTGATACACAGATCTAGCAGCCATGATGTTTGTTCACATGAGGTAAGATCGAGCTACTGTTTGAAGTTAACGGTACATTTATTAAATCTGGAATTCTCCATGAATCCCAAGAATGGAAATGAGGGGATTGCATGGATACAGTTGATTCAGCTGGTTGTCGGGGGGTGTTCCCCATACCAAACCAGGTTATTGAGAAATAATTTGCGTTCCTTTTTGGAAATCAACCAATGAAAGACTAGAATACAAACAAAATTAAATCATTTTAGACTTACCTGGTGTGAAAGAATATCTTTTGTGTGAAATTACAGTTTTTATTTTCAATGGGTTGTGTTCAAGAAAAATATTTTGTAAAAGAAAAAAAAATGCTTTTACAAAATAGAAGTGTATTATAATAATCGTTTTATCAACAGTTTATAAAACATATATTATTAAAACCTATAATGTTCTACTAGAAAAATGGATAGCACAATTAAATAAAAGTAGAAGGTGAAATGCTTCCCGTTATACATCAATAAAAGAACAGCATTTCTAGAGTGCGGAGCCCCCTCATGGGCCCGAAGGGTTTGTTTCCACTTTCTCCGACTAGCGGAGGACCCAAAAGGTGCAATTGCAACTAGCTAAGTCTTAGCTGATATTTCATATATGTGCTTTTCTTTTTCATGGTTTTAAAAACATAGTTGATTTTCTGAATTTCCCTTCGTTTTGTTTTATGAGGGAATAGAATTCAAAATAATCAGGATTCTTAATTATTATGACCTTTGATTTCATTCTAGAGAATGTGTCGACTATTCATTGAGAAAGGATTGGCGTTTTGAGTAATAATAATCTGTCTTTAAAAACCATTAGAACAAATAATTTGTCATTCACTAAGACAAAAATAAATAATATAACTTGGTTAAATGGCAGAAACTTGGCAGAAATGATTCCCGAGTTTAGGTTCCTTATCACCACATCGAAATAAAGGTTTCGAGTGTACCTTTTCTAATTTTGATTGTAGAAGTTTTTTTTATGAAAACAAGTAATATGGCCTTCACTGACATATTCAAAGTCTCAATACATAAACACAAAGTTTGACATATACAGTACATGTAATCCAACTCAGTTACCAGTTTGGAATAAAACATTTTGTAACTTTCCATCAAATTATGCATTAATATTATTTTGCACATAATATGATTTTAATTTGATTTGACTGATTGATAAAAAAATATGCTTGGTATGTTCGGG